GGTAGGACTCCTTGGACGAGGGATCGGCCCGTCGCAAGGCCTCTACCTGTACACAGGACAGCACAACACAGAAAGACGCGGACAAACATCCATGCCTTGAGTGGGATTCGAACCCACGGTCCCAGTGACCACGCCGCCACTGTGACGACATTTATAAGAAATACGATGCATTTTATGGACAGGTTTGGTTGTTAAACAACTAATACGAAGACAAAATTCATAGAATAAGAACAATAAGATGAGTGGTATGTGAAGATAAAGCCACGATTGAAACGAAATAGGACAGTCCAGTGTCAGGATCGTCAGAACACGCGAATGAAACTTAGTTTCATAAAAGCTGTGAATTTCTTGATTAGTCCAACATCTGCAGGAAGTAGACATACGGGAATTTCACACATCCGATGTCAAAATTAATGCGGGTTGACACTAATGGGAAATATACCTAACGAAATCACATGGAATTTGTTTTAAGGTTAAAGCATGTTTTTGTACGAACACAAATTCCGTAGGCGACTAAAAATAGTACACAGTGAACACGCTTTATATATATTTATGCAAAAACCCCGAATTATTTAACGACTCTGTCAGAACTGAATGAGAGAACTGAAAAAAATACGTATATAGAGGTGAAAGTTACATTGGACTTATACAATGGAGGGACTCTACTGGAGTTAAAACATTTTTAGAACCTGCAGTTCAAACACACTTGAAACTTTGTCTTTCATTCTCTCCAAGCGATCGTTGATGATGAGCCTACACAATTCAGAATGAGTCAATTTCTCATTCATTTTCCTCTCCTGCTAACCACCCCTTTTGTTTCGTTCATTCTTTCACCAATTCTCATTTCTCCGCAAGCAGACATGAAGCCCTATTCAAGAATTGGCAGCGTGTATATCTTTTTTCTGAATGCTATTGGCCGCCCTGAGCGAGTCGAAAGATTTATCATGAAGTTACAAACTTCAGACTTATTCATGGGTTTTCAGTGTACCTGTGCACGTATAAAAGCCAGATGAAGTTGATATTGGGTCACTTTCTGGTAGTTATCCAATTGTAACAAGAGTCAGGAACTTTCAGTTTCGTTACAAACTACACACATCAAAAAACAGAGATCGATATTACTTTAATACACACTACGAAGGTTACCGTAGCAACAGACCACAAGTATAATTTGTTGTTCCGTCTTGTCAAAAGCACTGCCTTCTATGAGCAGCTTGGGGAACCTCGACCTTGAGTGTACGCAAGCGCTGTGTCGGGAAAACTACTAAACTCGCTCGAGTCGACTGTCCAAGCATACAGCGTGGCTTGTATACCAACTTGGCGGCAGTTAACGGAGAAGCGTGGTTGGCGGAAGGTTGTATGTTTCTGTTGTTCCGCGCATTCGTGTCGTATCGAAATGAAGTTGAGTTACTTTTGTGAGAAGCTAGTGTTGCCACAAGCTGCAGCTAATGAACGTGACTGTCGCTGAACTCCCGCAGGAAAATAAAACGTAGGCATCCTGTTTCATCAAAGGTAACGAGGCTGTCCAGAATAAAGTCTTGTATGTGGTTGTAATTTTATACAACATCGCTGTAACATGACATAACTTCAAAAAAATTGGAGCTATTGCCACGTATCCTAATACATAAAAATGTGTTTTTTTCTGAGTCGTCATAGACGTAAGGCGTGTTTGAAGTCAATAAAAGAACACTGCCTTTTGCTTGAGTGAAATGTTTGTCATTCGCGTGGAAGTTTCAACGGAACATGATTTTACACACAAATTATGAAGGGCAGAAAAGTTACTGCCATTAAGGACAACATGACAACTCAAAAAGATAACGTTTAGTCTCGTATTTTACTGAATCATTTATTAACTTTTTTCCATTCTACAAGCGAGATGGTGAACTTAGTGTTGTCGCCGGCGTTGTACCAAATAAAAAAAACCCATGCAGACGTATTAAAGGAATTGTGGCTTGGCTCCCTCCACACATAATCTCGACACTAGATGGTGATGAGTAGTTTAGCTTTAGGCCTCGACCGCGTTGGGCCGATGGAATGATCACCGCACTTACTTGAGAGGAGGCTGGGAGGGTCCTAAAGACGATTTGGATGTTCGAGACGAGAAAAATCACGCCCTACCGTGAATCGAACCCCGATCGTCCAGCCTGTAACCCAGTCACTCACTATTCAGAATGAGCTACCCAGGATAAAAAAACTAGCTGTTCGTTCAAAAAAATTCCATTCTTTGTCCAGGAAGGACCTCCGAAACGTTGGTAAACGTCTACCAGACTAAAGTAGTTCACCGGGAAGTGTCATACAACGTTAAGGTTTTGACCGGGATGTTCTTTTGTTAAATCTTATGTGGTACCGCCTGATTCGACTTCTAATGGTTAAGTGAAGTGTTTTCTTCGCGGTACGGTCTGGATTCGTAAATATTATGAAGACGAGCTTCGGCTTCAAAGGGTTAACCAGCTGATTTCCGTAATGGTGAGGTGTAGTGTTTTCTTCGCGGTACGGACTGAATTCATAAATAATATTCAGACGATCTTCGGCTTCAAAGGGTTAATCAAAGGGAGGATTTAACTCGAGAACCGCTATATGGATTTGGATGAAATTCGGTATGGACGTTATGCCACTTCAGACTATTCAAAAACCGTACTTTTTAATTTCCCACAATCGGTAGTACCAACATGGCAGACGGACAAAATTGAAAGGTGGGATCGACACTAGCGCTAATTGTAGCAGGGCCAAAAAGTGTCTGGTTATAGATTTTAGGAAGACTGTTTTTTGCACAGTTGTGCAACCAAGTCACTTTGTTGAGGCACGCACGTTGTCCTTGGAGTGGTGAAACGTTCTATTGGCTCGGCGAAACCTGCTAGTTGTAAATAACGCAATACGTAAATACGTCTATTAATAATACGATAGGTGCACGCTATTCTTAGCATAAGACAAGTTGGAGTGGAAATAATTTCCCAAATATCGCACTGGCACAGACCCTTCTGCCTTTGTTCTGCATCAATGACCTTCACTCATCTTCCGTCTTGTATAATCGGCGCAGTAGTGTTTGGCCGGTGTTGAAGCTGGCGGAGCTGGCGGACGGGCCTAGTCTGTGTACCTGAGGTGGCACGGTCAGCGTATTTCTTTTGTTTAAGCGTTCAGTCAGCATTATACTATCGCAGAAGAGACTCGCTCCTAGCCTTCCCCTTGAAAATTCCACCGGCCAAAAACTACTGCGCCGACTATACGAAGAATTTTTACATAACCTCCAAGATAAAATACGCATATGCATACTTGAAAAATATTACTTACACGATGATGTAAACTTTACAAGTCGCGAATGATTATATATCCGATAAAAACTTATTTATGCAAGGAATGTTGTTTCCACTACTTTGGCGCGTGACAGTAGCCACGGAATGTTGATGTTTTTTAATTAGCGTGAGAGTGCACTTGTAAAGAATGATAACCAAGGTGTTCGACATTCTTTGTCAGGCGATGTTCTAATTTCGTCATAGTGAAATCGTAGGGAGACGACCCCTTATAGGTTACAGGTGTACTGAACGTTCAGAACACTAAAATGTTTTCTGAAAGGCCATAATAAATTGATATTGATATTACGTAACTGCCCTGTTGATGTCTGACATGAAGTGTTGTCTTTTCAGTGGCTTGATGCCAGGATATTCGTGTTATGAATTGCGAAATTCATGGTCTAATTATCGAAGACTTGCGAAAATGCTGCAATTTCTGTGCGTAACGTCTTGGTAATTGAATACTGGTCATTCATTCTTGTTTCTGATG